AGATATACCTGTCATATTTCCACAAATTTTGCCTTTAAAATGTACATTAGAGTGGATTTAAAAATGGCTTTCTGTGAAACAACCTTCCTTAACCAAACTGGGGGTTCTGTCTCTCAACACTGCATAAAAACAGGAGTAATCCTGGTTTTGTCTATTTGTAAATGATTTTGGCAATTATACTAGGAGGTTATTTCAAATTTCTGCTTTATAAAAAGAAATCTTTTCTTAAAAGCAATGGGGTTGTTCATTTATGCCTTTAATAAATAAAACAGTTTGCTAACTAATAGTGTTCATGAACGTGTGATAATCAATTTGACTTTATCTTTCGGAACTCAAACCTATACAACCAAGACTAGAAACTATTCCCAGGGTCTAGTGCTCCCCAAAGGGTCCAGAAGCTATCCGAAATGAAGGGGGGAGGTGGCATGTCATCTTATTTCCTTTTCTTCTTTAATTTTAATTTTAATTTTTTTGTTTGTTTGCTTGCTTGTTTTTTGAAACAGGGTATCTCTGTGTAACAGCCTTAGCTGTCCTGGAACTCGCTCTGTAAGAGATCCGCCTGCCTCTGCCTCCCGAGTGCTAGGATTAAAGGCGTGTGCCACCAACGCCCAACTTTTTTTTCTACAATACTTGTAATTGGGACTGGAAAGATTGCTCAGTGGTTAAGAGCACTTCTGTTCTTCCAAGGACCACCAGTTCAATTCCCAGCACCCATGTGACTCACTTGGGATCTGATGCTCACGCTACTTCCATGGGAACTGTATGCACACACACAGTAAAAATAAACTAAAACTACACTTGGAATTAAAGATGCCTCTAGAACATATGGAAGTCATGTTTACATCTTGCACATGAATATATTTCAGCTTTAATGTTACTAGATTAGTTGCATGCAGGTAAAGTCGGGAATAATACAAAAGACTTCTAGTGAGCAGCTTAAAGGCCGAAGATTCTATGCCCAAGAAAACAAACACACAGTCTCAAGCCCCTCTTGTTTCAGGGATTTTGTGTGCATTTCCATTCTGAATCCCATGCGGGCTCCTTACATCAGCATCCCCTGTGCCAAGGCAGCTGCTTTTACAAACCTGCATTCAGATGATGGGGATACCAGGCAGTGTCAGGCACGTGGAGCCCTGTAGTACACATCACCAGACCAGGTCATCCATCCCAAATGTGGAGGTTAGAGTTCAGTAGGCGAAACAGACATTCATCAAGTGACCACACAGAAGATGCCTAGCTGGACAGCATGGTGGTGCATGCCTTCCATCTCAGCACTGGGGAAAGAGAAGCAGTCATCGGCGGAGTTCAAGGCCAGCCTGGTCTACACAGCAAGTTTCAGGCCTTCTAAAGCTACATTGTGAGACCTTGTCTCAAAAACAAAAACAACAACCAAAAGATGCCTAACAATGTGGCTGTGAAAATGGTTTGGTGGGTAAAAGTGCCCGCTGACCTGAATTCAGTCTCTGGAGCTGACTCCTGAAGCTTGTCCTCTGACCTTCACACTACAGCAGGGCACACATGAACACACACACACACACATACATGCACACACATGAACACACATACACATGAACAAACACACACATGAACATACACATACACACATGAACACACATACACATGAACACACACACACATGAACACACATACACACACGAACACACACATACATACATACACATACACATGAACACACACATAAACACAAAAACATACAAACACACACATACACACACATGAACACACACATATATACACATATGAACACACACACACAAGAAAGGACAAGGAAGGGTTCAGTGGTCAAGAGCACTGGCTGCTCTCCCACAGGACTTAAGTTCAAATCCCAGCACCAAATGTCCATTTACAGCTGTCTGTAACTCCAATCCCAGAAGACACAAGGGCACCGGATACCCACACCGTACACAGACACACATGCAAACAAAAACCCAAACACAAATTTTTTTAAGAATGTAATTATATTTTTTTAAAATACGAAAACAGTTAACATTATCGTTGAGTGGGTCAGTATATTCTATCTAGCCTTAGTTTTTAAAAAAAAAAAAACAATAGTGAATTGCATCCACAATTGGAAAATGACGTCATTAGAAAAAATAAGCAGCCCTGTTGATATTGCCATGGGTCTTGCAGATCTTTGCTGTTGTCCGATTAAAAAGCAGGTCTTCTCACAACTAGCAGTTATATAACTATTTAATGATAGACTAAGTAGAATGACTTCTGGCAATGACATTTATTGAGCCACCCCATTCTCAAGCAAGAATATTCAAATTCTCTGCCAACCAAGCTCTTCAAAGTAACAACCACAGGGGAACCAGGGGAAGCGCTCAGGCTGAATGCTATGTCACAGTGCCCTCTGGTGGTTTCATGAAGAATGTGTTCTGCAGGCTGAGGCCTCGCAAACCACCTCCCCAGTTAGGAACTGGCAAGCTTTTCACAGAGCTGCCTTTAAAAGAGCGTTCCCACAGGTGTAATTCTAAAGGCCCACTGGAACCCTGAAGTGGTATTTCATAGGAAGGAAGTGAGGGACAACAGCTCTGTCCCTGCTATGGGAGAGGTTTCTTTCCAGCTTTGTGGGGCAGCCGTTTAGCCCTAAATAAACAGACACTATACTAATAATTTAGACTGTTTGGCTGATGGCTTAGGCTTTTTATTGGCTAGCTGTCTTAATGATTAATCCATCTCTATTAATTATGTGGTCTTACCTTACGGAGAAGGGTCCAGACCTGTTACTTCTCAGCTACATGGCATCTCCTCTCTGCCTCTCTCCTCGTCTCCTAGTCCTGCCTCCAATGACCAATCAGTGTTTGACTCATCACCAATAAGAGGAACATATATACAGCAGGGCATCCCTCAGGCAGAGCATAGGTGGGGTTACCAGACCAGAAGGCGGCTGGGATGAGGGAGGCAGAGATATGGAAGAGACGCCATGCTGCCATAGGAGTAACGTGCCGGGATACGGGTAAGCCACAGCCTCGTGGCAACACATAGATTAATAGAAACAGGTTAGTAATTGAGACACAGCTAGCCAGTAAGAAGTCCTAGCCATCAGCCAACTGTTTATAAATTATAAGTTTCTGTGTGTTTATTTGTGGCTGAAGGGCGGCAGGACCTGGCAGGACAGAAACTTTCCTCAACAGGCTAGAGTTAGACTCTGGAAAAGGCAGGCAGATCACTCAGTTTAAGGCCAGGACAGACAGTCCTACACAAAGAAACCCTGTCTCGGAGAAAACTAAAAACAAACAAACAAAAAAAACAAAAACCAAGCTGGGCGTTGGTGGCGCACGCCTTTAATCCCAGCACTCGGGAGGCAGAGGCAGGCGGATCTCTGTGAGTTCGAGACCGGCCTGGTCTACAAGAGCTAGTTCCAGGACAGCCTCCAAAACAATATTGAGAAACCCTGTCTCGAAAAACCAAAAAAAAAAAAAAAAAAAAAAAAAAAACCAAAAGAAAGAAAAGGGTAGAACACTTAAAATATTCACTTTTGGCCAGGCAGTGGTGGGCTGCACCTTTAGTCCTAGCACTCAGGAGGCAGACAGGCAGATCTCTGCGAGTTCAAGGCCAGCCTGGTCTAAAAGTCGAGTTCCAGGACAGTCAGGCTGCTCCACAGAGAGCACCATCTCAAATAACAGGGTTGCACGTGGTGGCCCATTCTTGCGATCCAAGTATTTGAGGCTGAGGTAGAAAGAGTATGTGAAGCCGGGTGGTGGTGGTGCACGCCTTTAATCCCAGCACTCAGGAGGCAGAGGCAGGCGGATCTCTGTGAGTTTGAGGCCGGGCTGGACCGACAGCCTCCAAAACAATACAGAGAACCCTGTTTCGTAAAAAACAAAAAAAGAAAGAAAGAAAGAAAGAAAGAAAGAAAAAGTATGTGAGTCCAGAGACAGCTCGGGTTACATAATGAGATGCTGTGTCAAAAACTGACTTTAGGGACTGAAGAGATGGCTCAAGAGGTTAAGAGCACTGGCTGCTCTTCCTAAGGTCCTGAGTTCAATTCCCAGCAACCACAAGGTGGCACACAAACCACCTGCAGTGAGATCTGGCGCCCTCTTCTGGCCTGCAGGGATACATGCAAACCAAACACTGTATACATAATAAATAAAGTCTTTAAAAACAAAAACAAAAAACAAAAAACTGACTTTAATCCCAGCACTCGGGAGGCAGAGGCAGAGGCAGAGGCAGAGGCAGAGGCAGAGGCAGAGGCAGAGGCAGAGGCAGAGGCAGAGGCAGAGGCAGAGGCAGAGGCAGAGGCAGAGGCAGAGGCAGGCGGGGCTGGAAAGATAATTCTGTGTTTTGGGGTTTGTTGCTGTTATTCGAGACAGTTTCATGGTACAGTCCTGGCTATCCTGGCACTTACTCTGTAGATCAGGCTGGCCTTGAACTCATAAAGATCTGCCTGCCTCTGCCTCCTGAGTGCTGAGACTAAAGGCTCATGCCACTATACCCAGCTAGATGGCTCAGTGGTTAAGAGCATGTACTTCACCTCCAGAGGACCTGAGTTCAAGTTCCAGCAACCATGTTTAAGCTCACAACTGCTTTAAACTCTAGCTCCAGGCCAGAGTCTCTATGAACACCTGCACTCATGTGTATACTTAATTAAAAACAAAATGAGGCCGGGCGTTGGTGCCAGCACTCAGGAGGCAGAGGCAGGAGGATCTCTATGAGTTCGAGGCCAGCCTGGTCTATAAAGTGAGTTCCAGGACAGCCTCCAAAGCTACAGAGAAACCCTGTCTCGAAAAACCAAAAACAAACAAACAAAAAACAAAATGAGAAGAGGTAGAAGCGGGTGGATTTCTGTGAGTTCAAGGCCAGCCTGGTCTACATAGAAGTCAAAGTCAGCCAGGACTACATAGAGACTCTGTCTCAAAATTAAAAAAATAAATAAGAGAGGATAAAAAGACTTTAATGTTTCAAAAGGATCATAAGATCCAGCAGGCTTCTCTAAGAATTTTAAATTCAGAATCAATGCAATGAGATACACATTTAAACATATGAAAATGTATTTTTATTATTTTCTTACATGAAATCATAACCAGTACACCATTTGCATTTTCTCAGCTGACAAATAAGATCCAAACTCTCCTTGATACTCTGCAAATCAAGAACAGTCACCTGTCTCTGGGAGGATTCAGTTTCTTACGACGTCTGTGATACCTTGAGAAGAAGAAAATATTAGAGGTGAGATTACTCCAATAAATTAGTACTCCAGGTAGACATCTTAATTGTCTGTGATTATTTTGCTATTTTTATTAGCTATTTGAAAAAATTTAATAAAACTTTACAACTATGCTATTATGCACTTCTCAGACATTTCTTAGCAATAAGCCACAATCCTATTAAAAAATTTTCTACCAACATTTTGAAAAATATCCTTTTAGATCTTGAGGACAATTTTATAATCTGGATTACTGATCTTGAATTAAAACTGAATGCTTATCATAAAGAAACCTTATATCAAAAACCAGGAAGTGGTGGCGCGCACCTTTAATCCCAGCACTCAGGAAGCAGAGGCAAGCCATATCTCTGTGAGTTTGAGAGCAGCCTGGTCTACAAGAGCTAGTTTCAGGACAGCCTCCAAAGCCACAGAGAAACCCTGTCTCAAAATCCCCCCAAAAATAAACTATATATCATAAACATAAACATGTTCTATAAAATGTATTTATAATGCAGTTATCTTCCTCTGGACAGAGGCCTCTTAGACTGGAAAATCATATTCCAGTGTACAGAAGAATTCAATTAATATTTACAGAAAAATGCAGAATGTGACCAAGAATGCAGGTTATGAAAATTAGGATGTCCAGGGCTACTTTAGTCACTCTGGCAATCACAAAGATGCAGAAAACTAATAACCAATCCAAGTGCAGACAAGGTGAAGTCAGCAGGATCAGACCTGCAAGCCTCAACTCCCTCCGGTACCCTCTGGAGAAGCAGTGTGGTGAGGCAAATCAACACTAGCTGTAGCCCTGATCTGCCTCAAGCTGAAATTCAGATCTAAAGTGTCTGGGACCAGAAGTACTTAGGATTTTTACATTTTTTGCATACACAACACAAACTATCTTATGTTTTATGTTTGATATGTCTAAACAAACAGTTCATTTGTATTTCCTATGCACATTATACACACAGCCTAATTTGTGTGTATAATGATTTGACTGAGACCTTAAAACAGATTTTGGTATAGAATTTTCCACTGGTGGAGTCAGGCCAGTGAAACGTTAATCTAGTTAATACTATCAGTAACAAATCAGGAGTCAGATTTTGGGGTGCAGTCACACTGGCTTCCTACCTCTCCCAGTCTCCATCCAAAAGCACTACATCCTCTCTCTGCCCACCTCATCACTTCCTGTCTCCTCTCTGCACAGACCTCCAGGACTCTATATGGTTAACTAGTGGCTAGTTCTGCCCTCTGACTCCAAGAAAGCTTTATTAGTCAGAACACAAACAAAATATCACCCAACAGGTCAGTGCTCAAAAACCTTCCAGAGCCAGGAGTGACGGCCCACTTTAATCCCAGCACTTGGGAGGCAGAGGCAGGTGGATCTCTGTCTGAGCTTGAGGTCAACATGGTCTGTAGAGCGAGTTCCAGGACAGCCAGGGCCACACAGAGAAACCCTCTCAAAAGTAAATAAATAAATAATTTTTAAAAACTAGAGACCTACATATATGGAAAAATGTATCATTTTAGATGTAACTATCCAGTTAGGTAAGGCAACAACTAGACTGAAATTGGCCTGTAGACTAAATGTTATCATATTTAAAATTCCAGCAAGTGCTTTTTTTTTGGGGGGGGGCAGAGTTTCTCTTTGTCATCCTGGCTGTCCTGGAACTCGCTCTGTAGACCAGGCTGGCCTTGAACTCACAATCAGCCTGCCTCTGCCTCCCAAGTTCTGGAACTAAATGCATGAGTCACCGATGTCCATCTCCAGCAGGCTTTTTTTGTTTTGTTTTGGCTTGGTTTGGTTTGGTTTGGTTTTCGAGACAGGGTTTCTATGGCTTTGGAGACTGTCCTGGAACTCACTCTGTAGACCAGGCTGGTCTTGAACTCACAGAGATCCACCTGCCTCTGACTCCCGAGTGCTGGGATTAAAGGCGTGCACCACCACCATCCGACCTCCAGCAGGCTTTGTAAGGAAAAAGTTTTTCAGAAACAAGCTGACTTGAACATTTAGACACATACAAGACTCAGGATTGCTGAGAAACCTTGAAGAGAACGAATTTAGAGGACTCCACACATCTCAAACCTCACTTATGGTCAAGTAGATATAAACCTCTACAGTGCAATGGAGTCAGGGTATGTCAACTGACCAGCTTGAGCAAGTGCCTAGGAGGAGACCACAGTAGAGTGAGTTGGCCCAGCTGCTTCTGACACAGACGTTCTCTCAGGAAAGACTGTATTCGAGATTCAGACAGCACAAAATTCAGGCAGATGTTAATAACTTTTACCTGCAGGGCTGGGGCATGAATGGACTACAGATCTTCTCGTTTTATACCTTACACACCTTTAAAGGCATCTTTGTATACCTCTAAAAACATTGTGAAAGACATATATAACTTGTTTTTAAATCATAGGGAGTCCCATTCTTTTGATTGCTAGACTTTAAAACTGAAATATTGACAAATCGTCCTATATACTTTTTTCTTAAGGAAAAATGATTCACTGATGTCTAGAAACTAATACTTTTTTTTCTTTTTTTGGGGGGGGGCATTCCAGACAGGGTTTCTCTGAAGCTTTGGAGCCTATCCTGGAACTCGCTCTATAGGCCAGGCTGGCCTCAAAACCCAGAGATCTGCCTGCCTCCGCCTTCTGAGTGCTGGGATTAAAGATGTGCACCACCACTGCCTAGCCAAAAAAGAATATTTTCAAATGGTATACATTAATCAAAAATACACGTTGGGTCTACAAGATAGACCAGTGAGTAAAGACACCTGTCGTACAAGCCTGCAACCCAAATCCATCCTTGGAACCTACACATATATACACCATGCACAAATACTACTAATAAGTGAAACTTATTATGTACATGCATATATGTAAACATAGAGACACTAAGCAAATATGTACTGTATGATCTGAAAGGACAATGACTCTAGGTTAGCTTTTTTTCTTCATGCATACAAACTAGTATCTGGGGTTTTCTGCTGGGCTCTTTATTGAGAGAGGTATTGGGACAATCAATTCCACCTAATTAAAGTCTGCTTACAATTCAAAGTGCCTCGGAATCCTGATGGGAAAAGATATACTAGGAGATTACATTAATTAGCAGTCAAAAGCTAATTACTAGCAGTAAGATTAAGTAAGTAAATAAGATTAAACACAGGTAAGATCCTAGAGAACATGCTCGTTTTTAAGGCTCTGAATAGTTAGTCTCCTTGCCTTCAGTCTTTCCCCTTCCAGTGAATACAGTCAGGGGATTTGTGAAAACATCAGTGACATGGCTATGAACACTGTTTACAAAGATTACAGGGATCTGGAGTGTGCAGGAAGGAAGCAAGTAGTCAAAGGAGGCTGGAAGTCAGGTCTCTGGGTAATGTGCAAAAATAAAAGACTAGGAAGAAGCTCAATCAGGAAAGTTATCTGCCTGGCAAGCATGAGGACCTGAGTTCAATTCCCAGAGCCCATGTAAAAAGAACCAACCACGATGGCACATGCTTGCAATTCCAGCAGAGGTGGAGAGAGGTCAGCCCCTGGGACTTGCCGACCAGCCTAGTCCAGCCGGGGAGTAAGGCCACTGAGAGACTGTCTCAAAACCAAGGTGGACAGCTTCTGATAATGACTTAGGACCTGAAGCTGTCCAATAACTGCAATCCACACCTGCATACCCCCCACATCAATAAGTAAGAGAGAAGACGCATGAACAAGCAGCAGGATGATGAGGTACACAGGCAGCAAAGGCACTTGCTGTGTGAGCCTGGTGCCCTGAGTTCAACCCTGGACCACGGCAGAAAGACTGACCGCTGTCCTCTGCCTCCACGTTACCAGTGTGGGGTGCACACATCCACACACAACACTAATAATAAAATTACAACGTTTTAAGTAAAATGGAAACAAGAGATGCAATAAAGCCAAGAATCACGGCAGCACATGTGAGATGCAGCGTGAGTGACGGTGCAAAGCGTGGGATGGCTTATTAATCTGCCTTCATCAATGCTAACTTCACCGCTGCAAAACGGGGAAACAGCAACATGCATAAGTAATGTGAGCACCAAGAGATAAAAACCGAAAAGGACATTAAAACATAAACAGGAGTAAGAATGGGAAGACGGGAAGTTGGGAGGAAGCTGAGGGGAAGATATGATTAGCACATGTATGTATGAAATTATCAAAGAATAGATATGAGTATTAAAATAGGTTATCATACCACAACTTGCTTATTCAAACACAATAAAAATTACTTATGCCACGTCTACCTTAAAACAAATGTGTAGACTGTGTTGGCCAAAACCTCTAAATTTTTTCTTGAAAAAGAGACACAGACACATCAGCGTTAGCCTGTCATCCCGGCACTCAGACACTGAAACAGTTAACAGAGCTCCAGGCTTCACAGACTCATCTAGGTGCTTACAACATGACCGCGCCTTCAGATTCAACATCCTCAACAATGGCTTCATCTTCCTCACCTTCCATTCACACGAATGGTTCCACTACCCATCACACCCTCCAATCACAAGTGCCTCCTAGCTCCCCCAATGGGAAATCAGAGCCACTTGAATTTCCTCCGTATTTTATCCGACATACTAGCCCTTCTTTTCTTGGAAGCTGTCACCATTTCCTATGTGTATGTATCTCTAAACCATCTTTCAAGGTTCACTGACACAATTAATTATTTCTATTCCACTATCTTCCCTCTCAACTCTAACAACCTGCAAATAAGGAAAGGGTTTCATCACCTAGCACTTGTGGAGCACTTTGGGGACTACACTCAGTAGCTCTGAGCGTACATCTTGCACAAGTGTCAGCTCAGAGGTGGTTACTGAGTTGTACAAGAGAATAAATACAGAGCTTGCTCAGACAAAGCAACATAAACAACAAACGCTTCATAGTTTGGTCTGGAAGAAGAAAGACTTGAGAGAAGACCCTGGGCTAGGAGGGTGGCTCAGCACTGAAACACGCTGCTTAGCATGTGTGGGGGGGGGGCCCTAGGTTTGACCCCCAGCATTGCAAGGAAAGAAATAAGGAGTTCACTGGGGGTGGGGGTGGGGGAAGAGAATGGGAGTGTAGCTCAGAGTACAAAGCTGCCTCTAATTCACAAGGCCCTGGGTTCAATCCACAACATTACAAAAACCAAAAATAAACAAAGCAAATATGCTTTTGTCAACAAAGGGGGGTAGCAAAATGGCTTAGTGGATGAAGGCACTTACCACCAAGCCTCAAGGCCTAAGTTTGATCTTTGGGACCCATGTGGAAGGTGATCACCAACTCCCCCAAGTTATCCTCTGACTGCAACATGCCTCCCCCACTCAAAATAAACAAAAATAAATAAATACAATAAAATTATATTTGAAAAGAAGAGGTAAGCCAAACTGTCGTGGCGCACGCCTTTAATCCCAGCACTTGGGAAGCAGATGTAGGTGGATCTCTGAATTTGAGGCTAGCCTGATCTACAGAATAAGGAGTTTCAGGACAGCCAGAGCTACATAGTGAAATCCTGTCTCCATTTAAAAAAAAAGGGGGGCAGACAGACAGGCATGCAGGCAGGCAAGCAGACAGAAAGAAGGACCTGGGACCTGGCTCATTCAAGTGCCTTCCATGTAAGTATGAGGACCTGGGTTCAAATCCTCATTGTCTATGTAAAAAGCCAGCCAGTACAGTGGACACTTGTCATCCTAGAACTGAGGCAGAGCCAAGAGCATCCAAGGGCGTGTGGGCCAGACAGTCTAGGTAATCAATGAGCTCTGTCTCAAGGTGGGAGGTAGAGAGATGACTCAGGGGTTAAGAGCACTAACTGGCTGTTCTAGAGAAACTGGGTTCAACTCCCAGCACCCCTATGGTAACCCACAACCATCTCTAACTCCAGTTGCAGGGGAGCCAATGCCTCTCTCTTCTCACCTCCTAGGGCATAGCACACATGAAATCAGGCAAAACACGCATGCACATAAAATAAAAATAAGTAAAAACCACGAGTGAGGATAGTAAGGGGACCAGTGATTGAGGAAGGCACCGGACACTCTCTCTCTCACACACACACACACACACACACACACACACACACACACACACACACACACACACACACACACACACACACACACACACACCACTACACATGCACACAAAAAAAGATTAACTCGAAACAACCACAGAAAAGGAAACCAGAGCCACAGTCAGACACAGGCTAAGAACAACACAGTGAGCACTGTAAACAGAAAGCAACTGATTTTCAAAGGAATTAGGGACATTATTTACTGACCATTCAGACCGTCTGTGCACAACTTTTTTTGTGTAATAATTCAAAGTTTGTTCAAAATGGATAAAGGGAGTCTGTGGAGATGGCTCAGAGGCTGAGAGCACCTGCAGCTCTTGCAGAGGGTGCAGGTTTGGTTCCCAGAGCCTACATGGTGGCTCCCATGGTAATCCTCTGGCCTCCAAGGGTAACACACACATGTAGGGCACTTGTACACAGACAAGTCACTCACACACATAATATAAATAAATAAATAAGCAAGCAAATAAATAAATACAATAAAATAAGGAAATGGATAAAGGGCTGAGAATAAGATCAATTATTATCAGGAAGCAGAATTTTAAAACATTAAGGATTACTCTTGCATTAAATCAAAGGAAAAATAAAGTGTTACTTTAACTTCAGTATATGTAGATGGAAGAGTACACCATAGCATACTTGGGGTCAGTTTTTCCACACTCAGCACCACTGCAGAAGTGGTCAACACAAAGAAAGCCACCTGCTTCCTCAGAGCGTGTGGTGGAGGTGACGAGGGAGACACTTACTGTCCACCTGCTTCCTCAGAGTGTGTGGAGGTGACGAGGGAGACACTTACTGTCCACCTGCTTCCTCAGAGTGTGTGGAGGTGACGAGGGAGACACTTACTGTCCACCTGCTTCCTCAGAGCATGTGGTGGAGGTGACGAGGGAGAGACACTTACTGTCCACCTGCTTCCTCAGAGCGTGTGGAGGTGAAGAGAGACACTTACTGTCCACCTGCTTCCTCAGAGCGTGTGGTGGAGGTGAAGAGGGAGAGACACTTACTGTCCACCTGCTTCCTCAGAGCGTGTGGTGGAGGTGAAGAGAGACACTTACTGTCCACCTGCTTCCTCAGAGTGTGTGGTGGAGGTGAAGAGGGAGACACTTACTGTCCATCTGCTTCCTCAGAGCGTGTGGTGGAGGTGAAGAGGGAGAGACACTTACTGTCCACCTGCTTCCTCAGAGCGTGTGGTGGAGGTGAAGAGAGACACTTACTGTCCACCTGCTTCCTCAGAGTGTGTGGTGGAGGTGAAGAGGGAGACACTTACTGTCCACCTGCTTCCTCAGAGTGTGTGGAGGTGAAGAGGGAGAGACACTTACTGTCCACCTGCTTCCTCAGAGCGTGTGGTAGAGGTGAAGAGAGACACTTACTGTCCACCTGCTTCCTCAGAGCGTGTGGTAGAGGTGAAGAGAGACACTTACTGTCCACCTGCTTCCTCAGAGCGTGTGGTGGAGGTGAAGAGAGACACTTACTGTCCACCTGCTTCCTCAGAGCGTGTGGTGGAGGTGAAGAGGGAGACACTTACTGTCCGTGCGGGTACCAACGGTGCTTTGTAGTGAAGAACACCTTGCTGAGCTGATCTATCATGGCTCCTCGCTCAAGCTGGTCACTTTTTATTCCTAATTTGATTTTCAGCACTTGTTCATGGGTTTCATTATTATGCAAAATATCTGGTTGAGGGATAGGCTATAAAATAAGCAATTAACAAACAAGTATAAAAACGTAAGCAAGATCTGACTGGCTTTATGACGAAACAACAAGCATATTCAGGAATTCATTGCACTTTCTGACAGTGGGTAAGTTACCAGAGCACTTTCAGTTAGTAGTTATATTATTCAAAGCTACAAATATTCTTCTACTCACATACACAAAAAAAGCATTGTGGGTTTCTTTTCCAATAACAAGAGTTTTTATTTGATTCTTAGTAATAAGGTACTTTTTTTTTGTTTTTGTTTTCTATTTCCCCAAAGTATATACTAGAATCCACATTACTTTTTAACTTGCAATCTGACACTTTACCTTATATATTATTCAGGAGAGAACAATGAAAAAGCTATAAAAGACCTCTCTGGTGGTTTGAATAAGAATGGCCCTCATATGGACATATATTTCAATGCTTGGTTCCCAGGTGGTGGACCGTTGAGAAAGGATTAGGAGGTGTGGTCTTGCCGGATGAGTGTGTCACCAGAGGTGAGGCTTTGAGGTTTCAGACGCCTATGCCAGGTCCAGCCTCCCCTCTGCTTGTAGATATAAGTTATTAGCTACTGCCCCAGCATCATGACTGCCTAAGTGGTGCCATGCTCCCTGCCTTGATCATGGACTAACCCTATGAAGCTGTAAACAAGCTTTCTTTTATAAGATGCCTTGGTCATGGAGTCTTTTCACAGCAATATAGCAGTAACTAAGACAACCTCTCATTGAAAAGTAACATTCCTAAACTGGACACAGTGGCACATGCGGGCAATCCCAGCACCCAGGAGGCAGAGGCAGGAGGACCTCTATGAATTTGCAGTCAGCTGGTGTTGACAGTGAGCTCCAGGCCAGGCAAGTAGAGTGGGAGGCTGTCTCAAAGCAAACAAAGCAACAAAAACAGTCCGGCCAGTAGGAAAGCACTTGCCTCTCAGAGGTAAGGCATAACCACTCCGTGGAGGAAGACAGTAGGAACAATGAAGGGACGAACAACAGTGCTTGGGTCTCTGGCCCTGCTGCTGAGTAGTGCTATAGCCACAGGCAAGCTAAACCCCATTTCCCTCGGCAGCACCATCTGTCTCTAAGGGCTGGGGCAGAGCAAGCGAGTGGTAATGTAGTGTGCCTTGCTCTTCCTCAACTCATGAAGACGTCAGTAAATGGCAGTTCCTGACATCTCCCTTAAGGCCCCACACAGGACACAAGTGCTGTAAAGTTAAAGCAGTCTTACAAGACCATCTCTTTTATACAAAGCAGAGTATCAGTCATTGTAAGTGACTGTCCCTTGAAAGTTCTAGCCAAGTACAGTGTCAGAGCTGTAAAAGCTGTCAGAATCAAAACGGAGCCACAACTGAAGTGCCGAGCATCAAGTAAAGTGCGTGCAAATAAAGCTGGGGGTGGTCTAAAGAAGTTCTCTCGAACACAGTATATCTGACAGCAGGAGCTAAGAGACTCACCCAGAACCACAGCTTGCACAAAGGCCACTGCAACTACACACCGAGCGTTCACTCGCCCAGCAACTGCCTGGAGAGCCTTGGGCTCCAGCCACCCTAGTTACTGTGGGGAGACCCTCTTCCGCTGGCCTTGGTCCAGCCTACTGAATCCTCCAGCCTCCGTTCCCTCAGTGCAGCACTCTGAAACACACTGCCATCTCCCTGTTACTTGGCTGACACAGCCTTAAATAAGAGTTTTCTCTTAAGCTTTGCTATGTGTTGCTAAAGGCCCAATGTCTAAAGCAAGGCATGTTGACACTCACCTGGCATCTCAACCCTAGGGAAGGTGAGACAGAAGGGTTGTCACTGAGAACAATGAACCACAGAATGAGTTCCAGGATAGCCTGGACAACATAAAGAGATCCAGCCTGGACTACAGTAAAACTCTGCCTCAAAAGACTTCCCACTTAAAAACATAAGTATTATAAAGAAGCTGTTTGGGGCCAGCATGCCTCAGTAGATGAATGTGCTTGCTGAGAAAGCCTGACAACATGAGTTTGCTCCGTGGTCCCCACATAAAGACAGATGGAGAGAACTGAGTTATCCTCTGGCCTCCACTCCCATACCATGTGTCTTAGTCACTGTTCTATTGCTGTGAAGACACCACGACCACGGCAACTCTTACAAAGGAAGCATTTAACGGCTTCCAGTTTACAGGCTTAGTCCATTATCATCGTGGTGGCAGCATGCCATCAGTAGCTGAAAAAGGAGCCAAGAGTTCTACATCTGGACCTGCAGAAAGCAGGAAGAAAGAGATACTGGGACTGGCTTTGCCTTTTGAAAACCCAAAGTCCCCGGTGACACACTTCCTCCAACAAGGCCTGATGACTTGAGTTCAATTCCTGGGTTACAGGTCTCCGCATGGTGGCTGGAGACAACCAACTCTCAAAAGTTATCCCTAACTTCCACACAAGTATCATGGCGTGTGCATGCACACACACACATGAATGGGATCTTATTTTTTGTTTTTGTTTTTTTGTTTTTTGTTTTTTTGGTTTTTCGAGACAGGGTTTCTCTGTGGCTTTGGAGGCTGTCCTGGAACTCACTTGGTAGTCCAGGCTGGTCTCGAACTCACAGAGATCCGCCTGCCTCTGCCTCCCGAGTGCTGGGATTAAAGGCATGTGCCACCAACGCCCGGCTGAATGGGATCTTAAAATTAAAAAGATGATCAGAAGCCGGGCGGTGGTGGCGCACGCCTTTAATCCCAGCACTCGGGAGGCAGAGGCAGGCGGATCTCTGTGAGTTCGAGGCCGGGCTGGACTGATAGCCTCCGAAACAATACAGAGAAACCCTGTCTCGTAAAAACCAAAAAAAAAAAAAAAAAAAAAAAAACCAAAAACAAATAAAAAGATGATCAGAGTCAACAGTACAGAAGCTATAAAGGAGCATTCTAACATACAAGCCTTTCACGATATACGTGAGTATCAGATTTAACATACTTTGCGTTTTTTATTTTGGGGGGAGGCTTGCCAATGTGTGTGGTACTGGGAATTCAACCCAAGGCCTCACAAATACTAGATGAGTACTCTACCAATCTCCTATATTTCCAAACCTTTAACATTTTTAAATTTTACACAAGGTCTCCTGTTTCAGGCCAAGGGGTGGGGGCTACAGGTCTCTGCCACCACATCTAGTTTTTATCCATTCTTTCTTTTTTTTTTAATTTATTTATTATATATACAATCTTCTGGCTACATGCCAGCAGAGGGCACCAGATCTCATTCAAGGTGATGTGACCCACCATGTGGTTGCTGGGAATTGAACTCAGGACCTCTGGAAGAGCAAGCAGTCAGTGCTGTTAACCGCTGAGCCATCTCTTCAGCCCTTTATCCAATTTCTTAGGCCAGAAAAATGACATGCTAATTGCCCTTAAGTAGTTCCCTTGTACACTAAGAAACTTTCAAAGGAAAGAAGATAAAAACTAAAGAAAAGAAGATAAAAACTAAGAGGAAAAAATCAAGACAGTAAACCCAAAGGACTAAAAGACCCAAAGCAAATAAAGGCTATCAGACAATTTCCTTACATACTTTGGTGTGTTCGTACGGGATGTCCACAGAAGGGTGGTAGCAGACTATTGTCCTGCCGTCGGACGTCAAAGCGAGCTCTACCTTGCTGGAAAGGAATGTTTTAGAGACACAGTTAAGACTGGATTCAAGGCAGCACTGAATACTTTTTTTAGGTTTGGGTTCTAGCTTTTTGACAAGGTCTCGCTCTAATCCATGTAGTCATGGATCTCACTATGTAGCCCATGCTGGTCTCAAACATGTGGCAACCCTCTTGCCTCTGCCTCCAACTTGATTGGCTAACAGACACATACCATCATATCTTGCAGAATGACTTTTGTTTTGAGATAGGATCTCATGGCCACTTTGTAGCCAAGGATGACCTTAAATTCTCGATCCTCCTGACTCTATCTCCAAGATTATGCCCAGCAGCCCAATGGTGGTGGCAGTGGCGCTGGCCTTTAATAATAATAATAATAATAATAATAATAATAATAATAATAATAAGAAGAAGAAGAAGAAGAAGAAGAAGAAGAAGAAGGTTAAACTGAAGACATACTATTCTAGACAAAGAAGAAAAAAACACTGAAAAAAGCTACTCAACTTTTTAACCTAACTGAAATGTTAACTGACAATTCTTACAACTAAATCTAAAGGTGTCAAATTAGAGTAGGCTCTGAGCAAGTTTATGTTTAAGATAAAAGAGATTCATGCACACTACAGAACTGAAAGTCTAAAAATTGGTCGGGCTGATGAAATGGCTCAGTGGGCAAAGGTGCTTGCTGCCAAGACTGCCAACTTGAGTTGCAGCCCAGGACCCACACAGTGAGAAGACTTGTCCTTTAACCTTGACGTGTATGCCATGACCCACACAGTGAAAAGACTTGTCCTTTAACCTTGACGTGTATGCCAGGACCCACACAGTGAGAAGACTTGTCCTTTAACCTTGACGTGTATGCCATGACCCACACGTACACAGACACACATACACATACACATGCACACATACAAACACACATAGTAAAAATATATTTATGTAAGGTGGCTAATTTTAGGTTGAGAGACTATGTTGAATATACTTGTATGCTACAACAACAAAGTATTTCAATTTAAGTGTAAAATTAATCACAAATGCTAAGGAAAACAAGCTGTATTTCTGGATTGGAAAACCCAATACCTAAGTGACAATTAAGACCATAAGAGAATATTTCATCAGCTTAACTACCATAAGAAAATACAGTAGTGACACTATAAATTGTATTTCATAGCAGTTTTACTATGGTTTTACCACTGAATTCTATACATAACCGCAATAATGTTTCTGATATTAACTAATCAATTTTTCAACTTTTGACACAAGGAGAGTCTCACTTTATACCTCTGGCTACCCTGGAACTCACAGAGCTTCACCCTCATCTTCCTCTCTGGTGCTGGATTAAATACGTGACCATTATGTCCAGTCCAAAAGAATTTTTCATACGTTTTTTAAAGATTTATTTATTTTACTTTATGTGTGTGAATGTCTTGCCTGCACAAATATATGTGCACCACGTGTGTTCCCATGTCCTCAGAGGTCAGAAGAGGTTATCAGATCCCCTGGAACTGGAGCTATAAATGAGTTATAATTCATCCTGTGGGTGCTGGGAACCGAACCCAGGTCTTCTGCAAGAGCAGCACTGTTAACAACTGATCCATCATCTTTCCACCACCATCACTCTGTTTTGAGCCACGGTCTCACTAGATAGTCCAGGCTGGCCTTGAATTCACTAGGTAGATAGTCCAGGCTGGCCTTGAATTCACTAGGTAGATAGTCCAGGCTGGCCTTGAACTCATGATCCTCTTGCTTTAGCTTTCCAAGTGCTGGGATGATTACCACAGCTGGCTTTAGGGAGTTCTGCATAATATATACACGAACATCACTCATTCTGTTCAGGTTCTAATTCATCACATGCTACTTAGAACTCATCAAATGTACAATTAAAACAAGTATCAAAAAAGAAAGTATGGGCCTTTCCGGCGGTGACGGCCTCCCTACGAGAACATGCCTCACGCATAGGGTCTCCTTCATCCCTCTCCAGAAGAGAAGAGGAAACACAAGAAGAGGCGCCGGGTGCAGACCTGGGTTCCTACTTGATGGATGTCAAGTGCCCAGGATGCCATAAAATCATCACGACAAACCGTGGGCTTGTGTGTTGGCCGCTCCACTGTCCTCTGTCAGCCTACAGGCGGAAAAGCAAGGCTGACAGAAGGATGCCCCTTCAGGAGGAAGCAGCACTGAGAAGCGCCTGAGTCAAGGTGAGTGGGAACCACCCCAATAAACACGCTTTGGATATATAGTGTCTGCCTTGTTTAACTGGTAGGAAGTTGGAAGAGTGGTCCTTTTGGGTCAAGAAGGCCTTGAAGATTAAAGTCCATTCAAAAATGAGATTTAAGGGCCAGAGAGATGATTCAGCCAGCAGAGCTATTTGATAAGCTTGTCTTAAGTCCCCAGAACCTCCATGGTGGAAGGAGAGAGCAGACCCCCTCAGGCTGTCTCTGACTTCCACACTTAAGAGTCAGGGCATGTCTCTTCCCCCTAACTCAAGCAGATAATTGTAAGAAATAAGTAAAATGATACTTAAGTATTAGTATTAAAAAAAAAAGAAAGTATGGGCTGAAGAGAAGGCTTGTTGCTATTGCAAAGGACACGGACTCTGATTCAGTTCCCAGTGCCCACATGGTCACTCACAAGTGAGTAGCTCCAGTTCCAGGAGTTAGGATGCCCTATTCTGACCTCCCCAGACACCACCAGGTGCACATACATACAAAGTACCCATGCACATTATAAACTTGAAAGAAAATATAAAAACCCTGGGCATGGTCACACATATTTAAGCACTGGGAAGAGGATCGGGAGTCCAAGGCCAGACTCAGATACATATAGTGAGTTTGAGTGGCTATTTTTTCTTTGTTTACTTTTTATTTCTAAAACTTGCAATAAAACACACATAACTTAAGAAAATAAATTGTATTTTCTGCACATCAACTCTGCTCAAAAAATAAATAAAAAAGAAATCACGCCGGGCGTTGGTGGCGCATGCCTTTAATCCCAGCACTTGGGAGGCAGAGGCAGGCGGATCTCTGTGAGTTCGAGACCAGCCTGGACTACCAAGTGAGTTCCAGGACAGCCTCCAAAACAATAGAGAAACCCTGTCTCGAAAAATCAAAAAAAAAAGAAAAAAAGAAAAAAAAAAGAAATCACATCATATGCTATTCTTAGTTCTTAGAATAATGATTAAGTTGGATAAATATCAAACAAACGGTGCAGAATTTAACAGTGTAATTTGGAATTATTCAGTGCTAAGCAAAAGACAAATTCCTAATCTAATAGGTATAAGCCCTAATATACAATTATAAAAACAGATTCGTTTTTATAGAAAGTTAAAGCCTGCTACAGAATGAAAACAACCAGTCTGTTATAGCAAATGTGAGCATTCATAGCAACACAGTAGTAATAGATTTTATCTAAAATGTGGAATGTGTATAATCCAGGTACACATTTAATCCATATAAATAAGACACACCCTTAAAAACAAAATTAAAGAAAGAATAGTCAGAAAGGCAAACATAAAACCATTTCAGATACAGCTACGACTGCTATTTTTATACACACCAGTTGTAGTCATCTGGAAGAGAAGAATATGTAGATTTACGACACACACTAGACAAAGGTCCACCTGCAAAAACCCACATAGAAAATAGTTTAGTTCACCTGAGCATCAAGGTAAATTTCAACATCAACAAATTTCTTTTGTTTTCTGTTACTGAAACAAGGTCTTTCACTATGTAGCCCTGAATGTCCTGGAACTCACTCTGTAGATCCGACTGCCTCTGCATCCTAAGTGCTGAGATTAAAGGTGTGCTCCACCACCAAGTGGCAAGCTATGCATTTTTTAATCTGAGTAAGTTTTTTAATGTTAAAAAAAAAGGATATTCCTTTAAATACAAAGGAAAAATTCAAAGGCAGTTCAGTATGGTTAAAAGTTAAGTTCTGGGGCTGGAGAGATGGCTCAGAGGTTAAGAGCACGGACTGCTCTTCCAGGGGTCCTGAGTTCCATTCCCAGCAACCACATGGTGGCTCACAACCATCTGTAATGAGATCTCTCTGTAATGAGATCTGGTGCCCTCTTCTGGCCTGCAAGCATACATGCAGATAGAACACTGTATACACAATAAATAAATAAATCTTTAAAAAAAAGTTAAGTTCTAGATTATCCCAGAAAACCGAGGGTCAGCTCTCTCAGCGGAGGATCTCTCCTGTACACGGGGCTAAGACCTCTCCTGACTTTCCCGTCGCCACACCACTACACTCTGCAGCGCAGAACATCCTTTACACTTTTTCAAATACACTAAGCCTTCCGTGTCAGTGTGTTTTGTCTATAAGATCCTTTGGTAGCCTCCCTGCACTCTTACCTCTATCATAGAGAACAGCCGTCTATTTTACATACCCCACAGGCAGCGTTCATACAATCTTACATCTCCCCGTCATCTGTTTGCGTCTCTGTATTGTTTTGGAGGCTGTCCTGGAACTCGCTCTGTAGGCTTCGAATTCACAGAGATCCACCTGCCTCTGCCTCCTGAGTGCTGGGATTAAAGGCATGTGCCACCAACACCTGGCTACCTAATGTCAACTTTATACAAGTTTTTTAATGTTCCTCACAAGGAGGGCTTTTTCTTGATGCTCTTTGTACTTTCTCTTTAAATTGTGGATTTTGCTTTCCACCAAAACATCTTTTTCACATAAAACATCAAAAATAGAGCAATTTAAGTTAGCTCACAATTAACGAATATTCTGATAATCCTACTTGACTCAAATCAGTTAATTAAATATTTCTAATCTCCTGGTGTGTACAACAGGGAGGGAGGATATCAAATGTGTACTAGGGCCATAGTATAAATGTAACCGCCAATCTAACAGTAAAAAGATCACTTCAGTAGGTAGGTAGTCCTATGTTAACTCCTGTGAAGACTGAGGGCTGTATTAAGTCTGAGTTCTCACCACCCTGGGCTGGGCTTCTCTTAGGGAGACAGGAGGCTATGTAGCAGGGATCTTTGTCTCAACTTGCCACCAAGATTAATGACCTGAGTTCCATCTCTTGAGACCCACATGATAGAAGGACAGAACCAACTCCACAGACAAACAAGTAATTTAAAAAATACATGTATGAGAAACAGACCAACTAAGAACAGAATTATCGAAGCTGGTCATGTGGCTTAGACATAATCCAGGTCAGTCAGAGCCACAGGGCCACACAGTGAGGCCCTGTGTCAAGACAACAGAACAGTAACTATCACCAGGTGGTGGTGGTGCACACCTTTAATCCCAGCACTTAGGAGGCAGAGGCAGGCATATCTCTGAGTTCGAAACCAGCCTGGTCTACAAGAGCTAGTTCCAGGACAGCCTCCAAAGCCACAGAGAAACCCTGTCTCAAAAAAAAAAAAGAAAACCCGAGTCTGGGTTCTCCACCCATGTGAGAGCCAGCGTCTATGTCATCAATGATGGGGAGAATGGGAAACTTAGAGTTGGACAGATCCTTGGTGCTTATGGCCATCCAGTCTAGCTGAAACCACAAACTCTGGGTCCACTGAGAAACTGTCTCAAAAGGTAAGGTGGAAAGGCAACAGAGGAAGACAGCCTAAGTTGACCTCCATCCCTGTACACACACCCAGGTGAGCACAGCCATGCACACATCTCACACACAGAAAGTAGCAGGAGAGGCTGAGGAGATGACTCAGCTGGTAAAATGCGTGCTCACAAGAGAGATGGATGGCCTGGGTTAAAACCCCAGCACCCACATAAAAAGCCAGGAGCAGTGGTGTGCACTTGTAACACCCACGCCAGACAGACCCACGCCTCCTCTAGCTGGCGATCTCCAGGTCCTAGGAAGACCATCTAACAAAAGGTTGACGGCACCTATGGAAAACACCCAAAGTTCTCTGGTCTTCACAGGTGTACTCACACCCACATTCACACCTACACACACACACACACACACACACACAGAGATAGAGAGAGAAAGAGAGAGAGAGAGAAGAGAAATACTGTGTATTTTCCCTCATGTGCATGCAGAATCTAGATATACGTGTGTGTGGATATATATACATGGGGATTATGGGGCGTTGTCTGGAGAGACAGGGTTTCAGTACGCAGGCGAGGCTGGCCTCTAACTTCCTGCCTCTGCCTCCAGAGCACTGGACTACAGGTGTGCATCGGCACGCCCGACCTATTCGCAGATGATGTGAAAGCGGAAGCGGGACTAGAGGAAGAGTTAAGGAGAAGGGGGCTAAGAGAGGATAATGAGGGGGAATGTTTTCTCTCATGTGGGATCTAGATTGACCTATGTGTACAAACACACCACACAAAAGCAGAGGGGGTGCTGTGGGATAACCCTCTTGTTCACTGCGAGGATCGGTTACTGGGAACTGGTGTATTAAGATGATGATTGGCTAGCAGCCAGGTAGGAAGCGCAGGTGGGGCACCCAGACTGAGGACGGTGGGAAGGAGAAGCCGGAGTCAAGAGTCTCCAGCCAGATCTGTCCATGTTGGTAACAGCTGCATGATAATTCACAGTTAAAATGTAGCAGAATTGCTGGGTTTTGGTGGTGCACGCCTTTAATACCAGCACTAGGGAGGCAGAGGCAGGCGAATCTCTGTGAGTTCGAGGCCAGCCTGGTCTACAAGAGCTAGTTCCAGGACAGGCTCCAAAGCCACAGAGAAACCCTGTCTCGAAAAACCAAAAAAGAAAAAAGAAAAAAAAGTAGCAGAATTTATTCATTCTCCTTTTGACTGACATTTAAATTTTGTTCCCTTTTAATTATCCCAATCAACAGGTATTTAGAATGAACAAGTGCTTTAAATATTCTGTACTTGAAAAAGCATAAAACTTTTTCAAACATTAAAAAAAGCATCACTTACTTTGGGTTGGAAATAAATGTTTCCAGATAGCCCTGCTTGATGACACCCATTTTACTGCTGTTGCCATGGTCCTCATCAGGTGACTTGGAAAAAAATACTGTGAGGAGAAATCTCTTCTAAAACCTGTTTCTAGGCACACAGATTTCCATTCCTGCTTTAGAGATAAAGAAAAATCATACAAAGGTAAATGTAAACACTACATTAGTACTAGTTGTTGCCCAAGTTGCTAAGTCCCCAGAGACTACCAGAAAGACAGACCCTCTAAACTGCTAAAGCAAGGTTTAATGATTGTTCATCCAACCATAACAGGGACCGCAATTAGCATGCTGACGCAGCAGCCTCCAGAGGGAGTGAAGTTCCCTGTCTACTGCTAGGTTTTAAAGACAAAAGTTACAGAATTACGTCAGTAGGTACTAGTTGGTTTCTGATTGGTTGACATTCGAGAAGAATTTCTCAAAGTCATATTTTGACATGAAATATCTATGCACCAATTATTTTCATTGGTCAGTGTTGAGAGGGAACATTCTGTGGTCTCTATGGCATTGTCTTGTTACTTGCAGGTAGCCTGCTGTACATAGATACCATTAGTTTTCAGAACTATATCCTGAGACTACAGAGGTGGTTTTGGTCCCCCCTGGAGTTTCTTTTGTGACCAAACAGTTCCCAGGAATCAAGCATCTAGGAGGCTGGGGAAGTGGGGGGGGGTTATCTGGAGTTTCTTTGTGTTCAGTTTTGGCCCTAGACTCTTGCAGGCCAGAGGATCTGGAATTTCCTGTGTCTTTTCTAAAGCAGGGGGCTGAGTGAGAGCCTGGTCCCTTTATTTAGTTTACCGCTTCCACTAGTCATTGGGAAACAAGGCTTTTCAGCTGTTCACACAATGTAACAACTGGACAAAGAGCAATGACATCAAAAAAGAAGAAACCAAACCCAACAGACTACATCTACTATCATTTCACTTAAATGCAGCCTTCTCAATCCTCAATGCAGTTTGTTTCAGTTGAGTGCTCAGTAAAAGTGTAATTACCTGGGAAGCCATTCACACATAATACACCGTGTACTCCTCAAACACTAGTGTGTCTGCACAAACTCCCAAGTACCTCACATTAAGACCGTATCACTTCAGTAATATTTTCCTGATGAAATGAGATATTCAACAAGGCCTATCTTTGGTCCATGAAAAATTTAAGAGGATCACATCAATGCCACCATCTTAACAGGTTTTAAACAAAGGACTCTCCGTCGCCATTTCATCCGTCACATTTAAAGATATGCCAAAGCATATTTATACTGAATCACGAATATTTAAAGGGCTTGCTTCCAAAGACTTTGGTGTTGCTCACTTACAAACTGGAAAATCTGAGCAAGTCATTAATTAAAAGACCTCTCAATTCTTCCGTGGTAAACTGAGGGAAACAACCACAATGTTCATGAGATGTTGTACATAAATCGTATATAATTACTGTACCCCTATTTTCAATTTGTCTCAATGGCTATCTATGCCCTCTCTAGCTCTGTGGGCTGATTCCTGACACTGTCGGAACTGTGCGACTTGCTAACCCAGAGTTCATTCAGCGTGCAACAGTGGCTCGCAATCCACGTTCCTGTACATTCTGTGTCTTTCAGACATCTCATTAGGCACAAAGTCTGAGAAGTCTAATGATTTACTATTTTAGTAGTCCACTGTTTAGTGTCATGCATGAGACACACACCCACGCCTTCCTATTATAAGTCCAAAATCAAAATATAAACATTTATGGGGGACACTAACTTTCCTCGGCTCAAACTACTGCTGCAGAAACTTTCGAAGGTTAGTCCCTTGGCACCGAATTCAGTCCAAGTCAAAAGTTTGATGAGGGGGGGGGGGGAGGGCACGGGAGGAAGGGAGGGAATGGGAGAGGGACCTGGAACTGACTTGTGAAGCAACCTTGATTCTTATCTAAATTTAAACTGGAAAATAAAATTAAAAAAAAAAAGTTTGATGAACAGATGCACAGGGCCAAGGACCGACAGAAAGACTTGGACCAGGAGGCGTCTCGGGAGTCGCAAGGTCAGCGTGGGGCAGCACACGGGTGGTGAGCTAAAGCAAAGGCGCAACCATACGCCGGCCCTTCCGCTGGACGGAGCCTAGGGACACCGGCAGCCTCGCTCTGCGAGCAACGACAGAAAAGCGCTCAACGCGCACAGATAAGCCTGAAGAGAGAGCAGCGGTTACAAACACAGGTACTCACCGCGAGCCCGCCATCTTGCTTGAATCCGGGTCTTACAGACGCTGTCCAGCGCGCGCTGCAGACCCGCAAGGTACTCTGGGATTCGTAGTTTCTGCGGAAAAAGTACCACCACCACCACCCCGGTAGCAGAAGGAAAGCGGGACGGGCGGGTTCCTACAATCAGCGTTTGTTATGGCAGGTTGTGTTACAAAGGTGCTCAGACAACAAAATCGTTACCCTCCGGTTTCTAGTAGCAGGCAGTGTTTAAAATAACAACAATTAACATCAGAGAAACACTAGACGAGTCATGAAGGATGAATTAAGTTTTCTCAGAGAAGACAAGACGTCAGAGAATTCAAATATGGGTGTTAAGAACTGAAGGCGACATTCCGGGTGTGGCTTTGTTGACTAGCTTGAAGGTTAGTCCAAGTACAGGAGAGGAAAGACTAATAGAGCAGGTTGGGAGTTGTCTGGGAATGGTGGGGATGGATTCCATTTGGGAGTTGTTGGTTTGGGGATTCTCTGTGTAGCTTTGGAGACTCTCCTGGCACTCGCTCTGTAGACCAGGCTGGCCCCAACTCACAGAGATCCACCTGCCTCTGCCTACCAAGTGCTGGGATTAAAGACGTGTGCACCACCGCCTGCCCAAACCTGTGGTTTTTCAATCTTACATGTTGTCTCTCTGACCTAGCAATTTGTCCTGCTCACCAACTGAAAATCTCAGTCCAGACACAAATAGGATTAGTGTTCTCAACTCCATTGTATATCTTTACAGTAAGTGCAAAGCTAACTTGGATAAGATGGCTAAAGGTTGTATTCATGTCTCCAGCGTCTTCTTATTTACAATCTGATTGGAGTTATATAAAACATGACACGAGGTAAGTGATTTAGAATTGTGATTGTAGGTTGGGTATGGTGACACACACCTTTCATCCCAGCACTCCGGAGGCAGAGGTGGGCAGTGTGGTCTACAAAGTGAGTTCCAGGACAGCAGGGGCTATGTCTCAAAAATAAACAAAACAAAACAAAGCAAAAAAAAAAAAAGAAAAGAAAAAGAAAAAGAAAGAATGAATGAAATTGTGACTGTGACTATGTCATAGTTAGGGTCAATGTGAGAGCCAAAGTTTTTTTGTTTGTTTGTTTGTTTGTTTTTTTTGGTTTTTCGAGACAGGGTTTCTCTGTGGCTTTGGAGGCTGTCCTGGAACTGGCTCTGTAGTCCAGGCTGTCCTCAAACTCACAGAGATCCGCCTGCCTCTGCCTCCCAAGTGCTGGGATTAAAGGCATGCGCCACCAACGCCCGGCTCATGAGAGCCAAAGTTATGTTTAAGTTTTAATTACTGTGCCTAAGAGATCCATGAAACAAAAATGCCTCTGATCTGCAAGCCCCTTACCCAAGGACGGAGGGGGCAGATCCCAGGGCAGTGGAAAGACAAATATGCTACACAGGCAGAACTTATATGGGAAGGTTTTATTGGGGGAAGGGGGAGAGAAAGAGAGAGAGACAGAGAGAGAGACACAGAGAGAGAGAGAGAGAGAGAGAGAGAGGGAGAGAGAGAGAGAGAGGGAGGGAGAGAGAGAGAGAGAGAGAGGGAGAGAGAGACAGAGAGAGAGACACAGAGAGAGAGACAGAGAGACACACACACAGAGAGAGAGAGAGAGAGAGAGAGAGAGAGAGGGAGAGAGAGAGAGAGAGAGAGCACGAGCGAGCACCAGGGTACTGCTTGCCATGTGAGCAAGGGTGATGCACTCTGTCAGGTCCCCAAGGGGTGGGGCCAAGGTGCGCCTGGATGCTTACACAGTTGCTGAAATGCTGGAGGCTAATGTTTATAACAGGCCACGTGTTTCCCACTCCCCCAAACAAGTTTGTTGGACCCATCTGCACTGATGTGCTTGATCACACGTGGGCGAAGGCTCTCAGGCAGGAGGTACATCAGGATGTACCCTTGCCCCTGATTGGACCTGATGGGAAATGCAATGAATTATGGGTTTTCCTTCTTAAACCACTGTAAATCATGATGCTGGGCCATTTCCTGAGAACCTTGGTTGGACCTGGCCAGAGCCCATCCACTTGACCAATATTTGGTTACAGCTTGCTTCAGATTTCACTTTAAACTGTGGTAGCGGTGTTATTCTCGATTGGTGGAGTTAACATTACTGTTGCTGTGATGAAACACCATGGCCAAAGCAAGCTGGAGAGGAAAGGATTTGTTTGGCTCACGTTTCCACATCACTGTTCATCATCGAAGGAAGTCAGTTTGGAAGTCAACAGGGTGGGAACCCAGAGGCAGGAGCTGATGCAGAGGCAGGAGCTGATGTAGAGGCCCTGGAGGGTACTGCCTACTGGAATGTTCCTCATGACTTGCTCAATCAACCTTCCTTCCTTCCTTCCTTCCTTCCTTCCTTCCTTCCTTCCTTTTTTTGTTTTTGGATTTTTTGAGACAGGGTTTCTCTGTATAACAGTCCTGACTGTCCTGGAACTTGCTTTGTTGACCAGGCTGGCCTCAGCCTGCTTTCTTACAGAACCCAGGACCACTAGCTCAGGGATGGCACCACCCCACCACGGGCTGGGTCCTCCCCCATCATTCACTAAGAAAATACCTGGCAGGCTTGCCTGCCGCCTGATATTATGGAGACATTTTCTTCATGAGGTTCTGTCCTCTCAGATGACTTCAGCTTGTGTCAGGTTGACATAAAACTATTCAGCACAGATTATGTGTTGAAAAATACAAATAGGTTCCATTTGGGGCTAGTGAGATGACTCAGCAGAGAAAGACATTCTCTGTCAAGCATGACGACCTAGGCCTGGTCCCTGAGACCCTTATGGTGGAGGGAGAGAAACGACTCTGGTAGGTTGGCCCCAACATAGATGCCCTCCCCCATATAAATAAGTTAATTTTAAAAATTAGAAAAGAATTATAGTAGCTTTAACAATAACATTAGGTTGTTTAAGAGGAAGACCACCAAAAGTTTTAATTAAAAAAAAAAGCCAGGCAGTGGTGGCACACACCTTAAATCCCAGTACTCAGGAGGCAGAGGCAGGCCTATTTCTGAGTTTAAGGTCAACCTGGGCTATAAAGCAAGTTCCAGGACAGTCAAGACTACACAGAGAAACCCTGTTTCGAAAAACCAAAATACAGCCTGTGTCCAAGAATGTGCGGAGGGTGTCGGGATTGACAACACAGAGACCAATCGGCGGTGTAAAGAAAACTTTAAGCAGGCCCCAAGAAGGCTCAAGAAAACTTCCCAAGAAAGGCTTCCCTCAAGAAAAGCTTCTGCTCCCTTCCTTACCCCTGGCTGGTTCTGCTCTGACACCAAGGGTCAGGAAGAGACAGTTAGTCTTTGGAAAAGGTCGAGGTCAGGGCGTTCCTGTGGGTGAGCCCTTTTCAGGAACTTATTGCTCTGTTAAACATTTCTTAACATGTTTTTAGTAAACATTGTCTTACAGCTGCCTGCTCCCAGGCTGATGGGGAAGTGGGCCTCGGCCAAGGTCTGTTGTTCCCACTCCCTCCTGCATTCCCATCTGCTCTATCCTGGGATAAGGGGACTGAAGGTGACCACTGTGCTAAGTAACTTAGTGTCCAAGTCTTTGATTTGTGGTCTTGAGCTGGTAAATCCAACAGCCTGCAGATTCCGAACTGTGTTCTTACTTGATGAGAGCAACGTTTTAATCTCTATTTGTCGAATCCGTGAGAGAGTATTCAACCAACTACAATTTCAGGGATAGAATTAGGGTGTTATTCTCTTGAACCAGGATAATTTGTAGAAGTAGAAAGAGGGAGGGAGGCCGGGAGTCCTGATGTGGGCCAGAAGAATTGAGAAAAACAGAACAAGCAAAGTATAAGTCAAGGTTGCCAGAGCAATTGCTTTTTTTTTCTTTTTACAGATTTACTTATCACATATACAGTGTTCTGCCTACATGCCAGAAGAGGGCACCAGATTGAATTGTAGATGGTTGTGAGCCACCATGTGGTTGCTGGGAATCAAACTCGGGACCCCTAGAAGAGCAGTCAGTGATCTAAACCTCTGAGCCATCTCTCCAGCCCTGCTTTGGTTTTCTTTTTTTTTTTTTTTTTTGAGACAGGGTTTCTCTGTATTGTTTTGGAGGCTGTCCTGGAACTCACTCGGTAGACCAGGCTGACCCTCGAACTCACAGAGATCCGCCTGCCTCTGCCTCCCCAGTGCTGGGATTAAAGGCCTGCGCCACCAACGCCCGGCTGATTTGGGCCTTTGTTATTACTTCAACTTGCTACATACATGGATGCAGAGGCTTGCATCGGAAACTCTTGAGATCAGTTCTGGCTTGGGATTGAAAGACCTCAGCATCAAAGCACCGGGCACTGAACCGAACCCTCTGCCCAAGAACCGGGGCCAGACCACTGGCTGCAAATGCAAGAGGTGATTTATTGAGCACACAGGCGCCTGCAGATGCTACTGCAACTCGGGTGCAGAGCATACCGGGCTTGCAGGGAGCACAATATTTATAGAGTTTTAATGGTTACATAAGTAACAGGCATTTCATTGGCTCATCTTGGGGGCAGGGGTAGTTCCCACGGACTAAGTTTCCTGGTATTACTTTATGAAAGACCCCGGCACGCTTCAGCAATTATTATCCGGGTCCCATGACTACTATGGTGATCATAGACACAACTGGGGGCAAGGGTAGTTGCCAAGGACTAGGTGTCCTGGTATTGCCACATAAAAGACCCTGGCAGGCTTCAGCAATTATTATCCGGGTCCCATGACTGCTCTGGTGACCACAGATCCTGTTTGACATCCTGCCAGCTGGGCAAGGCACCTGGTCTGGGTTTCTTTCATTAGGCAACAGCCTGACCTTGCTTTTCTTTTCCTAGGGGGTCCTGGGTAGGGGTCTTTCAGGATGCCATATGTCTAAGGAGCCTCTAAGGTGAGAAAATGTTCCAAAGACTGACAACCTCTGTTCCAGGCTTGACTTGGTCCCAAATCATTACACTCCATGCCTACAGTTCTGATTGATGCACTCTAAAACAAGGAATTGGGAGCTGGGAATTGTGGAGCATATCTTTAGTCCCAGGACTCTAGAGGCAATGCCAACTTGGTCTACCTAGGGAGTTTCAGGTCAGCCAGGGTTACACAAACACTGTGTCAAAAAACCAAGGATTTGGGGCAGTCCAACCTAAT